AACCCAGTGCACAGCAGACTGGCTGTGTTTCCTTTGGGAATAAGGTTGCCTGAAAGGGCTGTGGAAGAATATTTCCCTGAGGAGGTTTGCCTTCTAGTTGCTGATGTAACCCACTACTAAGGAATCAGAGGCACGTTTTTGCCTTTTTTATTGCAGTAGTAACATTGTTGAAGCAGTGATGAAAGGATATAGGCCAGTCAAGGTTTGTAGGGAGAGATAACATCTTTTATTAGAGTAGCTAAAACTGTAGGAAAAACCAGACACACTTTTGGAAGCAATATTATCCTTTATTATCTCACTGTTCCCCCTCCCCTGTGACCCCCTACCATCCTTCATCTGAAACAATAAATACTTATGAAGTGGAAGGAAACTTGACCCTCTGGGGCAGGTAAGAGACAAAGACTTGTGCCTGACTCCTGATCCCTGTGCCTCTCCCAGTGGTCTGGGTAAGGAATCGCCCAAAGCTCAAGGGCATTGCATGGCCCCCGCCTGCCCTGCTGCTCTGTGCCAGAAACAACAAAGAGAAAACCCTCTCCCCGTGGCGTCAGTAAGGAGCAGCTCTGATTAGGGTCCCTTGCCTGGCCCCTCTGTCAGCACCTTATGGGTCAGTAAGGGCCCAACAGCAGCCGAAAGTTGGAGGCTTGTAATATTCTTAGCATGCAGTAAAGGGATTTTAGGCCTGGTATTTGGAAATCTTTAGAGGGCATGGCTACTGACACAGCAAGAAGGATTTGTCTGGGGCCATTGCAGGATCTCCTTTGCTGAAGAGTCTCAAGAGTTTAGAGGAATATTTGTAAAAAAATGACGTTCCATAAACATACTTTGTGCTGCCCGAGGGCAGGGAGATGGACCAAGTGAAGGTAATGATGGCACCTTTGCTGAGAGCCCATTCTCATTCTGGGGTTGCCCACAGCTTTGCAGGTCAGTCTCAGCTCTGCAGTCTTGGTCTGTTGATGTGGCACAGGCACCATGGAGCAGATTATTGCTCTGTGAATTTGGGGCTGCGTGCTTACTGTCTGGATGCCTTGCAGGGAAAATCATCACTGAGAAGAACAGAGTGTACCGTGGCCAGAGCATTTTTTTTCCTTCCTATGGCTGTCACCCAAGTGAGGCATCTTTAGCTCAAGATTATGTAGGCACCATGCCCTTTCGCTGATGAGTACAGAAGATTTCCTCCATAGACCATGTTCCCATCACTCTTCATGAATTACCAAGAGATTTTCAGACGCAAGTCCCAGAGCAGCTCTTGTCAGAGGCAGCAATAGGCAGAGGAGGAAGGAGAGAATCATAATGTGGGTTTCAATAACACTTTTCAACACCAAAAGAAGAATAAAATAGAGACCAGGCCTTGAGTCATTTGCTTAGACTAGGAATAGCACCTACAGGGGATGGTGCAGAATCTGGAGTGACAGTTGGATGACAATGGGAATACATCTGGTTTAAATTAAATTTATACAAGGATTTTGAGAATGGGGAAGACTTTAGTCTTGTGCTGATGGGAACAGAGGGGCTGCCAAACCAATTCAGAGTGGTTTCTCAGCTGCTTGAATAACCACATGCCATGTTATCTCCATCTTATTTCCCACCACAGTAAGCACCTACACACTGCTGCCCAGGGCAGAAATGACCTGGGAAGGCTGATCAAATTAGGGAATATAGCCTCATTTCAGGAGCCAGGGACAGCAGATATAGATGAGGACAGACTACCCAAATCTTGTGTGTAAATGAAGCTGAATGTCACTAAAAGGTTTTCCTTCTCTAGAGAATATGGCTGGCTGAAAATTCCTAGCAGAAAATCTTCTGGTTGGTTCAGAAAAAGGAGGAAGGGGAGGAAGAAGGGAGGCAGTGAACGAGGGGTTGTGAAAACATGTCAGTTTAAACAGAACCTTGTTTGCAATGGTGTCAGAGTTTCTTTTAGCTCTTGTTCTGATTCATATCAGCTTTTTTTATTGCATTAAAATTCTAGATTAATTTCATATTAGTGTTTTAGGTTAAGTTGGTGTTATTTAATCTGTGTAATGTTTTAAAAGAAAAAAAAAAACAAAACCAACAGCTACTTGCCCTCTCTTGGGATGTTATTGTTACCCTAAATATTTGCAGTTACTGGTTTTAATTCCTTTCAGGTTAACTAAAATGTTCAGCTTTCCAGGACAATGAGTATAGAACAGCTTGTTTTCCTGCCAGTTCCCTATTACACACTCTGTAAAACTCAGTCCTATCTGATCCTTCACTTTTGTATTTTCACAGTGCTCTTCACAAAAAAAGATAGTTTCACTAGAGCCTGTTATCTTGTCCTGCAGGCCCCTGGGGTTGAGCAGATGTTGCTTGTGAAAGGATTTTTAAAGGCTTTTGAATAAGAAGCTAATCCATAAGATAAAATAAGGAAATAAAAATTCAAAATGGATTAGAGGAAACACTTTTTTTAGACAATGTGTGATCAAGCTACAAAACTAATTTCCCATAATATTGTTAGACACAAATAAAAAGAAGAAACTTGGCAAGATCCTAAAAAGAATGGATTTCTCTATAGATAACAAGCATATCCAATGTTGTAAATAATGAAATATTTAAGGGTTTATTAAAACCTCTGTTTCAACATTGAGACTAATCTTTAATAGAACATGTAAGGAGACCTTAGACCAGATGGTTTCGTTGTGTCCTGCTTTGGAGGATGTCTTTCCCAAAAGGACTGGTGCCTACTAGCTATTGTCAGAAAATGAGGAGCCACGTTCTATGAACTTTCTTCTTGTGCTGCCTTGTTCATACTCTCTAAAACTGAATAGACATTGAGATAAAACATTTGGCAGTATTTAAGATGCAGTGGAAAACCTGTAGATAAGAAAAATATTCTGAACCTCATTGAGGGTAAAGCAAAGACCATTCTTCTCAGGGCTGTGATTCTGCACTAGATAAACTAAGTTCTTTGTGTGTATATATTTTCTAGAGTACAAGACTCCTTAAGAAGCTCAAGGATGGTCTGTGAGTTTGCAGAGCCATGTGATAGTCTATCTTTCCAATATATAGGGAAAGCAATTGCAGCAAGAACAGTTTGAGATTAAGATGTAATCCTGAAGGAGGATTTAATTCTTTGCACAATGTATCTCAAACATCAGAAAAACTGAAGGAAAGACTGATTTCTTTCCATGGGTTTTGACCCAGTAAAATCAAAATGACCTGCAGGATGTTCCAGCCCATTCCACCGAATGCTGCATGACCCCTCTGGCAGCAATGCTATTCTGAAAGGCCTTAGAATATTTTATGTTATCTCTAATGTCATCTAGCTGGTGTAATTGGAGCTGACTGGGTCTCTGATCTATTGAGCCTGCACATCTCTGTCTTCACACCTCTCTTGGCCACAGTAGCTGCTAAAATGAGCCCTGGGGACAACTCACATTCTTGACTGCCAGCCCAAATGTGTCAGCTGGAAGGAAGACTATTTCCCAAATGACATCCCCTCTCCCACAGAGTTTTGGCAGTCACCCCAGTGCCATCTCCAGTCAGGAATATCTGGCTGTCAGACCACGCAGAGGCAGACTCTGTGACCCCTGATCCCGGCTGCCCTGTCCCTACCCCTAAGGGGGAACTGCCATTGTCTGCCAAGGTGGTCAGTGCCTCAGGCTGGTTCCCATGACTGTCCTTCCATCTGGTGCTGGCTGCAAGGTCAGGGGCTGAGAGGGCCACAGAGCCACCCATGAGGCAGCATCTCCTCCAGGATTCTGTGTCCCCATCCCTGCTTGGTGGGAGTCGTACCCAGCTGATGTGGCAGCCAGATGGTCCCAGGGGCTCTTGTCCTGGCTGAAATATCAGTGGCCACTTAACACCTTACAGGGGAAATGTGACACTGGGATAAACTGGCTGTTGGTGGTGTTGGCAAAAAGCCAGAGCGACTGCACTAAGGGCGCAGGAGTCTGTTCCTGTATGACTAAGAAGCAGGGTTTATATGCCTGGGTTTGTGTTCATATCACAAAGAAATTTTTGGCTTTGCTTTCCCACCCAGGAATATAAGAGACAAAGGAATTAATGTCACTATCCAGGTGGCTAACAGAAAGCAAAAATCCTGAGTATATCCCAGCTTGCAGCCAAGCTGCACTTAAGCAGTTATGCAACAGCAAAAAAAAGACTGCTTAGAGTCTACAGCCACAAAGTTTCCCCCAGAGCCCTTTCCATTGTGTGTTGGGAGCTCTACACCTCCCCCATCTCCTTGCCTTCATTGAAACTGGAGTTCATCTGCTCCATCCAACCTGCTGCAGCTTGGGGAATTTCACGTCACTCCTGTCTCAGCTGGTGAAAAGCCTGAGCTACACATTTTTGGATGATGATTCCTGTGCTTGTTTCCCAGTTGTAGATTTATGAGAAGAGTGGGAGTAGAGTTCTCAACTTTTCCCCAGTTCTTCAAAAATGAAAAGCTAGTAAGGATAGTCGGCTGTGCCTGAGGACTGGGCACCATCCTGGCTCTCTGTGGCCATGGGCAGCTGTGTCATTCCCAGGGAGCTGTGACATTGCAAAAGGTAAATGGGGAATGAGGCTTTCCTCACAAAAGGGCAGCTCACAATGGAGGCATCAGCTCTCCTCCACTGCAGTCCTTCTGCTGCCTCTCCTGCCTGCAGTACCCGGGGCTGAGGAGACCAGGAGAGGCAGCTGCCCTAGCAGACATCCAGAAAAGCCAGGGTGAGGTGTCACTATTGGACACGAAATGAGTACACAGAAACTTCGTAAGTTCAAAAGAGAAAAAGAGCCAATTTTATTTCTGGCCTCGCAATATATAGAATTCCAAAAGTGACAGTGGATTGGAGGATGAAATTGCCACCTCTCCAACCACTCTGGTCAAACCAACAGTCCATCAATTCTCTCCTCCCACAAAGAAGAATAAAAAACAGTCATTATTTACATGAACAGTGGGTGAGAACTCCAGTAGAAATACGTAAACATTATCAGAAGGTTAAAGAAGTTTTATGAGAACTTTAAAACTTTCAAAAGAACTATAAAAGAAAACTTAACACTTTTAAAAATCAGGGCAACAGTGAGGATGGATGGATGGATGGATGGACGGACGGATGATTCAAGATCCCATCACAAAGGTTGGAGACAGGCCAGGGAGTCAGTGCCCTCCCTAGTTCCACCAGAAATGGGATGCCTGGGCCGTGGGGCTCCATCCAGACCCCTGTTTCTGACAACGCACCCTCTGCTCACTCCACTGGCCGCTGTCTTCAGGAGGGCATAAAACAGAGGGGAAAAGCATTCCAAAGAGTGAATCAGTCCAAGAAACTGCTGCAAAGTAGATGTCTGGGAATCATTAGGAGAACACTCTCAATCTTCCCAGAGCAGCTGAAAGCTTTACTGCCAACAGCACTTGGCTGCCAGTCTCCCATTGCTGTATAAATGATGATAATGGTCTTTGCTACTTCTTCTCCACACATTCTACTCCTCTCTGGGGGAGGTGGGCTCTCCTTGGCAACCACAAAGCTCTTGTTATATGCAAGGAGCTGTTGGCAGTGAGGACTGGAATTGAACAGGAGAGAGAGGGGGTGCCTCCTCAAGTTAATAAACACCAGCAATGGGCCCCTGCTGTGGCACTTTGTGCACATTCCATGGCTTCTCTGGTCACCTTTGATAGACAGCACTTGCTTATTAACAGGCGCTGAATTTTGACAGGAACTGAAGAGTCAGAAGCCTCCAGTACTTACAGGAGAAAAGCAGTGTACCTCTTTCCTTGTGGTAGCACTGACAAAATCCAGTTACTCATCTAGCATGGTCCAGCGCTTACCTTTCAAGGACCACATTCCTACAGTCCTCTGATTACTCACAGCCTGTTTCAACTTTTGCAATGGGTCCCTGCCCCTGGACTTAAATCCATCAGTTTCATAATTTTATATTTCTTTTGGTGGTAAATACTTAACTGAAGCTCAAGTATTTACTCTGCAGCAGTTCTAAAGAGCCCTTTCAATGTGGTGCCTTGCTGATGAAGGGCTGTCTGCTCAGCACTGAGTTCTCTGCAGCACAGAGTGAGCACTGGTAACACCAACCTACCAAGTCAAACCTTTGCTGCCTACAAAACAATAAAGCAGAGCTCCTTGTCCTTCAGTGCCTCTTTCTCTGAGAGCACGTAGAATTAAAAAGACACACCAAGCTTCCTAGGGTGAATCTGTCCCTGCAACAATAGTGTTCCCATACTTTCTGATGTATGACAATACATCAATGACAATAGACAGCTTTTCCACCTGTAGGATTTCATGCTGCAGTGCTTCTATTTCAGATGTGAAGCTTGACAAATAATACGAGAAATAAAGAAAGATATAATCAAATACACACAGATTTGTGAACATGTTTATATTGTGCCCCAGGTCATGTGCCTGGCAGACCTGGTCCAGTCCAGAAGAACCCATATGACACCTCTTAAGATGTTTTTTTCTGTGTCTAGAGACTGTATAGACACATAATTACCTTCCTTTGAAGTGGATAGGGTAATTTTCTGACTTCCAGATACAAACTCAAGAAATGGATGTTGCAAGTCTGCCATTTTCTTGGAGTAAAAAATCCCAGTCTTCTCCAGAAACTTTCAATGCTCATACATGTCTGTTGAGCACATGTGATAGCTCTAGCATCAACCCTACAGAATATATAGAAAATTTTTATCAGAGCTGCTGAACAGAAACCTGGAAGATCCAGTCATCTCACTGGCAAATCATAAGATAGGGATAAACAAGCAAGCCCTAAAATATCTTTCACAGCAGCCCTCTCCCTGGTTTGCTGGTGGGGTTTTCTGCATGCAGTTTCCTCTATCAGTCACCCAGGCTTGAACATTGGTCCCTGGCTCCCTGTGTGGTGCAAGAATGTTGGATTTCAGTAGACTATGACAGGAATAAAAGGCAAGTGATCCCTCCTTTGACTTACTCAGAAATGAGAAGCAGGCACATGTAGGCTTGCACCAGCCAGGAAACTTTTCTCTGTAAATCTCTCCATGCCTTTTTGTTGGGATTACTGACAGCACAGAACTGTTTTGCAACACAAGTGCTCATGTACTTGTGTTGGCCTCTTCCAAGCACCAAAAACGTGCAGAGAAAAACAGATTTTGTACAATTACTGGTCTTCTTTAAGATCAAAACAGTGCAGTGCAGCAAACAGATCAACTTTGTGCCAAAGCATTTCCTAAAGAGAGCTTTATTATAATGAGACTCCATTCTCAGAGGCCTTTCCTGTTATTTATATTATGAAGTCTTGGTCTGACTTACCCAAAATGACTTGCACTCTAAAACTACACTGCTTCTCTTTTGTTCTTTTGTTCCAAAAATTTGAGTTTCCTAAATCTCCTTAATGAAAGTTCTCAAGGGGTTGACTGGAGAAGATGAGAGAAACCAACCAAGTGCAGCATTCCAGGACCAGCTCTCCATGCAGGGAAAGACTTGGAAACTGAAGTCAATAGTCTGACTTGGATCTGACAATTAGAGAGCTGTACAACCAAAGGTCTGCTACACCTCATGCTCCTCACACCCCCTGCTCAACCCCCATGCCAAGTCCATCCTTATTAAGTGCTGACTAGGTTCTGAGCAGAGCATCTTTTCTCTAAAGGCCAAAAAACCATAGTTTTTACTGAAGCCAGGGGAGGAACTGATTAATTCAGCTTACATGGGAAATATTTATTTAATGATAAATAGCTAAATTAATTGCCCACAAGTAAGACCACTGCTCATCTGAAAAGCTATCGTTCAGCCTCATAGGAGCAGCTGCTAAAATTCTTCAGGCTGCTCCTCTCCTCTTCTTCATGGACTAAGATGTGTGGTAGATCACATCCCTCCGAGTCCAAGGTACATGAGCTCCCAACCTCACCACGGAAGCTGCACAACTGAACATGAGCAGTTGCACTTGGGTTAATTTCTGAAGACTGAAGGGGCAAAAAAATGCAGGGTGTCAAAGGAAAGGCAGGTAGGTCACAAGCAATGGTGATGCTACGCCCATTGTTTTGCCTTCCCATAAAAATCCTCAAATTTTGCTGGAACCTGGAATGGCACAGTACAGCCCAGGAGTAGGAAATAATCTGTTTTTAGATGTCTATGTTTTTCTATTGTTTATCGAGCCTCATTTCCCTTCTCTTGCTGCCTGGACCTAAATAAAGCACATTAAACTACAGACAATGCATGTTGCACATGTTGAGGCTGTATTAGATCATCCCATGTGGCTCCAGCACAGAAGAAATGAGGCTGCCAGTCCTGGGGGGTCAGCCCCAGGGCTTGCTCCCCCCCTCCACTGCCTCTCCTTGCACCAGCAGTGATGTGCCTCCCTGCACAGTCCTGTGGGTGCCCAGAAAGGCAGATAAACACAAACAAAGAACAGGAAAGGAGAAAGAAACCCCGGGGAATATGTTGGAACACAGAGCTGCCTGACAATCCTTCTGGGGGCTTTAAGTCTTTTGTTTCAAATAGAGGCTTTCTTTGAACGACAATGTCTAGGCCAGTTATCTAATACACAGGTGTAAAACCTCAGCAAGAACATATAAGGTATAAAAACCAAGTCCTGGGTCCCTCAGGACTATGAGTAAGTCTATGACCATGTAAGTCTAAGGCTTTTCTGCTTAGAAACACTAGGGAAAGTCCTGTTTTGTCCAGCGAGAGGAATGCTGAAGGGATGGTTTCCTCACACATCCAACATACTTTCAGATTTAAGGTGGAACCCACTGACTGGTCTCACCAAATCTGTGAAAAATGCAGCACCAGAAGTGGAGTCCTGAGCTGAAAGGTGACAACCAGTGGAACAGCAAAGGGAGAGGAAGAAGTTTTGCCAGTGGTCATTGGTATGGTTCCTGATATTGCAGGGTGGCACTGCTTTACAGCAGTCGTGGGAGCAGCAGGGGTGTGGGAGGGTGCAGTGGGATGCTGGCTTTCCGTTTGAGGTTTTAGATGTTTGTGTGCTTTAATTTTTCTGCTGGTGGTGAGTACCCAGGTTTGGCCTGATTTTTAATGAAATGGTGCCCAAAATATTTTTTTAAAACTGAAGAATATAATAAAGCCTGTTTTAAAGAATAATTTCAATCATTTTTTAAAAGAAATCATACCATTTCAACATGAAAAATCCTTTCAGATTACTTCCTGTTTTGAAAATCAAAACAATCATTATGAGTCACCTTTTAGAACTGACCAATTAAGCGAAAATCTTCTTGAAATATTTTGGTACTTCTGAGCATATGTGTTTTGCCTCATGCAGAAATGACCCAAAAAAATTCCCACTACAGGACTAATCTGTGCATATTTCATAAACAAATCATTCATTTGCTGAAAGTACTGAGAAAACTGAGCAGTCTCCACTAAGACTTAAATGGATATTGCAGAAAAAATAAGGTGTTCCAAGATTGACAGCTCTCACATTAGAACAGCCACTCCAGCCCTCAAGTGTTAAATAGCAGCATCTCACTGCACCATAACAGTTCAGAAAACAATTGTGCTCATTTCCACACATTGCCTACAGCTTTTTTCTAGACAGAACATCATTTGTTGCACTCAAGACATGACTATTTTGATTCATTGCTTCATATTTATATCTCATTTAACCCTGTTTTTCCCAGCTGACTCCCACACTCAGGTGCTGCAATAGATGCATTATTAAAAATCCACAGTCAGAGAAGGCTGTCAACAAGTCTCAGTTCTCTGTGTCCTCAGAAAGCATCATCATCCTGCTCCCTGCACTGGGCTCTTACAAGCCTTTATCACTGTTTCAGCACTCCTATATGGTACCTACACTTACCTCCACCTCCTGTATTTCTGATCTGATTCCAAATTTTTTACTACAATCAACTGATTTGCCAAGACCATTCTAAAGTGCTGAGAACCTTTAAAATATTTCTAGGCCCAAAAGGCCTGCATTCTCTCTCATTTAAGTTATCAATGTTCTGTTGTTAAGAGTTTACATTTGGGGGTCCTTTGACCCTCTTTTTGGTTTTATTTATCCTTAGTGCAATTTTTGGTTTCCGGTGAGATTTTAAAGTTTTCTTGGCAGTGATAGCTAGAAATTTTTCAGTTACCCGCCCACACTAAAACTCTTGTGACCCAGACACTGACTGGATAGATAATGGCTTTTATTTTGTATTTCAGTGCTCCATTTGTGTAGTGTTGAGAAAAGCAATTCTCTGGCTGATGGAGAGTAATCTGAAAAGTATATTAAGTGTATATAGCCCTTGGTCTGCTTTCTTGTACACACACTCAGTTTACATGTGGCCTCATTAACAACCTTTGCTCAAAATCATACTGTGTGATATTTTCTAGAGCTGGATCCTGGCCAGCTTAATGCTGAACTCAAAGTGTTCAGTGTTTTTTCCTCTTGCCTTGCTCCTCTGCTGCAGGTTTTGCAGGTCAGGCTTTTACTCAAGTGTTTCACTGTGCAGTGCTCATGCCTGGGTCACTAAAGCATCATTAGCACAGACGTCTTGCTGCCTAATGAGAGCTCTAATGCTGGAGCACTTGGCATGAGAAGCATTGTCTGGGGAAAGGGACCACACTGGGAATAGGAAAAACTGTATTCAATTCCTTATGGAGCAGTCACAAACTTCCTTCCTTCAGCTAAATCACTTCAACCGGCGCGTGCTTCAGTTCCCCATCTGTGCAGGGTGGATAATGTTTCCTCCCGCCTCCAAAGAATAGAATCATCAAAAACTTTGCAAGTCTGGTGTATTTTGATGTCACAAGAATGAGGACAAGGACCAGGGGCCTACAGACCCACATTATTTTCAATGAAATGCTCTAGTAACCTGTAAAATACAGAGCTGATAAATACCATGAAAGGAAGATGCAACTGATAATTTGGCGCACTGTGCACAAGACAGTATTCAAGTGTGAGAAATCACCAAATATTGCAAAGGAGAGGAATATCTTCATCAGAAAGCAAAGTCTTTATTGAATTTCATATCTGCACTTTCCTGGGGAGACATATAACTTAAACAACTGGGTCTGGAGGCACGTGAAAGCAAGAAAAAACCCACATTAATATTTGGAACTTAATTTTCACAGTAACTTCTCCCCCTTCTAGAAACACCTAGTTCTTCTAGTTTGTATACATCATGAGTAGGCATGTGTACTCATCACAGCTCTCAGTGCTGCGCCCATTTCTCTGGAGAGCCTGCTTCAGTGCTCAATCACCCCCTAGACAAAAAACCTTTTCCTCATTTCTAACCTATGTTCCCCTGACATTGTTTTGTGTCATTCCCTCAGTTCCTGCCACTGGCCTCCGGAGAGAAGAGATCAGTGCCTGACCCCTCTGCCAGTTCAGGATTTTGATGATTCCTGTGGGTCACTTCCATCTTAGGAAGTTCTATTCTACAGTAGAATATAATTATAATTCTATGACCATTAATTACCACGTGCTGTTGAAATCACAGTGCTGTGTGAAATACAGAATTTTATAAGAGTGAGACCTGATGTAGGTCTCATTGGGATCAGGAGGTTTCAGCTGTTACCTGACACTGTAGGGGATAATTTACTGGGAGGAGATGGTGACATGCTCAGTAAATGGAAGATTAGGGCCCTAGGAACCCTCTTCCTAACCAACCCCATCATGTAATCTCTAAATTATTGTTAAGGCTAGTTTTCCATAGTTTCACATCAATAAATATCTCACAACTTCAGA